CTGGAAATAAGACAACAAGAACAATATGACTATTTATATGCCCAAAACACTCAGATTCTAACTGGCCAGTGAAGCATGACCGAGAGGTTGGACGAGGCCCTGTCTGAGCTTAACGCCTTAAGATTGGACGTCAGCACCCTTGGCTACCAGGACACTGATACCGAAGCCACTCCTACCAGGCGATCACGCACCAGGAGCAGAGGACGTGGCCATCAGTAGTTTTTATTTTCTAATTAGTTTACTTTTTCTGTTTCTTTTTCTTTCTTTTTGTATGTGTACTTCCCCGCCTCTATACCGCAACATTGAGGACAATGTCGGATTTAGTGTGGGAGAGGTACCTTTCCATCTACCATAAACAAGTAATTTTTTACGTTATTTCTCAATTTAAATTCTTCCCCACTTTATTTAGCCATACCAAAAATTTTTGCTTTATCTTCGCATCAGCCCGACATACCTATCTTAACAAAATCCTAGTTAAGGAAGCCGAGAACGATTCAACAAAATCGATACGATTATGACACCTTAGAATTCCTACTTACGTGATCCGTTTCAATAACCATTATACCTATATCTTGAGTTTTAGTTCTAAAGTAACCCCTAGTAGTTTATACTAGCAGTCAGCACCGTCTTGACACAAACCACGCGGGGAACCGATGAATATAAGTGTTTGATGCCTAATCAATGAAATATCCTTCTTATCTCGCTGCCAAAAAGGAAATTTTACACCAAAATACAAGGTCACATATACGAGATGAGCAAATAATGAAGGAGTCCATTGTTGGTTGGTTCAGAGGTATCTGGTTCTGAACTTGGTAGGGCGTGCTACGGCTCGATCCCCCACAACCTCCAATTTGGATAACATGTATAGGGTTGCCACATTCGTGTACCAGACCCCGTGCTAAAAGGATCAAAGTCACTAACCTGTTACTCTACTACGTGCATGCTAAGACAAAGGGCTTAATGTGATTGCGCCAGAACAAAACTGGGTGAAATAGATACGAAAACTCTGGGCAGAATTATAACGGAACTATTGGACAGTTTGTTTGAAATGGAAGCCCACAACTAAGCTTATTACTTGTGTCATTAGCGTATCGTTAGTGTTTCACTTAAGTATCAGTCGAACTGAGGAGGATTTCCCGTAATTGCTTTAAAAATCAAAGGTATGTCATGCATATGCGCTTGATAAAACTTGTTCGATCTTTTTAAACAATTATTTGCTTGAGGACAAGCAAAGGTTTAAGTATGGGGGAATTTGATAACGAGAAATCGTATCATATAATTGCTACATTTTTAATCGATTTTCATAATGCATTAACCCATTTAACTCCCGATTGTTCCGAGTTTTCATGTCTTTTCACAGGTACAACATGTTTCAAGTCAAATTAGTGAAAAAGGATCACATGAAGAAAGCTAACCAAAAAATCAGAAGAAAAAGAACTAATCTGCAAAAATCTGCAAACTTTGATGTCATGACGACCGTCACACATTCGTTACGAGCGTAACGCGCTCACATCCTGAAGAACGCTCGTCACACATCATTGATGAACGTAACACTCTATTTATGCGCATTACGACCGTCACCTCCTCATGACGACCATCACACGCGTAATTCAGTGTCATGCAAAACAGAAGACGTGGGCAACGTAATGGATGTTTTCTTCTCCTACAATTTCTCAACTTCAGCAACGTACAATCCGAGTCTTCCTCCACTCATGCAGTGCAAGTCCACGTTCCTAAATTCTCTTAACTGCAAGAATCCTCTTCTATAAATAAGAGGCATTTTAATGGAACGAGGGGGAGTTTTTGCTACAAATTTTCTTGCCGAAACCCTGCCAAAATTAAATACTGCAATTATTTTTGTTCTTGTTTTATTTTTCCCTTTTTCCAATTAATAGTTATTTCCAACATTAGGAAATCGCTATTGTAGTCTGAATTTATTTTTAGCCTCAGAATTTGTTTCAAGTTTCGATTTCGAAGTTCCAATCTTGCCGACTTGTGGAAGAAGGAGCTTGAGGAATAATATTGTTATTCAGGTTTTTAATCGCATTAAATTTTAATATAATTTGTCTATGTTTATTTATTTATTTATTTTATCATGAATGCATTATTCTTTTCCGATTATATTTTCTGTATGTTTATTTCGAGTACTATGACTAGCTAATTTACTAGAGTCGGGATGTGATACTAGTAACCAAATGGATTAAATTGTGCCTAAGCCAAAATCTAAATTAACTTAATTTCTGGCTGTGACTTTTTATAATTAAAATCAATATTTTTGTTACGAGAGTAAGAAAAGTAGAATAGGTTAGGGTCGAGACCACGAGAGTGTGAGATTTTAACCGGATAGCTAAAGTTAGGCATTTGATTTAAATACAGCGAGAGCGCTTTAAAACGAATTAGATTTTATTAAGTTTTCAAAAAGTATTTTCTAAACACTTATGGGCTAGCGAGAGCAGACATAGGGCTTTAGGGGTATAATCCGAGATAAGACTACGAGAGTGTGAGTTGAGGGTTTTTAAACTGATAATTTCTACAAAACCATCTAAGTTAAACATCTTTACATGCTTAGGTTCGATTAGATCCACTTAGGTTCACTACATTACATACCGACCGTTTTATTATTATTATTTCCTTAATTTGATTTATTTTTCCCTTACCTTAACCTCTAAAAACCAAACGTGACAACATCCGCCTTAGCTAAACTAGCAAACCTTTATAGCACTAGAGTGATTACAAAGTCCTTGTGGGTTCGACATCTTTTTATTACTACCGCGATAGGCTGTGCACTTGTAGTTAAGATACCGTTAGACACATCAGGTCGATCGCGAACATCAAGAGCTGAAGATGGATTGTAGGGCATTGCATCCTATTCAAAATGAGCTTTGGATGGGTCATTTCACATAAAATATGAGAAAGTTATGCATTGTCAAAGTTGAGTTGACTTTTCCTGTAAAACCCTAATTTAGCAACTTTTGAGTTTTGATGAATTATGAGCAATCCTTGATGAATCATGATCAACCCTTGATAAAATGATGAATGATACTTTAAAATGAGGATGTTGACCAAAAATCTTGAAGTTTGACTATAAGTGGGCCACATTTGACTTTTGCCCAAGCACAACCAATTTTTAGGCCTTTGAGCAATTGACTGAGCAAACTTCCTCTGCAAGGCTTGAAACTTGACATGGATGATCTTGAGAACATATTAGGATAATGGTGAGCATTTTGGATCCCTTGGACTCAAGTATCTTGATGCAACATGAAACCCTAATTTGAGGTAGACTGCCTTAGGAGAGAGCTTGTCTGGTCAACCCTTGGACTTCCTTGAGCAACTTGAGGATCTTTCTTGAAATGTTTTGAGAAATATGAGAGGGAAAATTTTGGGGTACAACACCCTCGAACGTGGGATACTTTTGTAATGACTCTCGAATACAAGATCGTAGTCCCTCGATGACCCTTCAATGTTGCCTTCGGTAAACGATCTTAGACCCTTACAATAAATTGCTAAGGTATCCTACAATATTGCCTTCTATGACTGTACGACGACCCACACCCGTCCCTTCACATCCAATGATATGGTTGCTTATCAATTAATGGTAAGATAACACTATTTAAAGGAGGAGGAAAAGAACTAAGACTTTTTGAGTATGTAGAACGCTCGTAGTTGCTTGCTCACAAATAAAACCATTTTCACACTCACACTTTCAAAACATCTTTCCAAAAGTAAACATCTCTTTGAACTATTTTCAAAACCAACACTTTGTATACATTCTTATAGAGACATGAATCATTTCAAAGTTTGCCGAAACAAAGGCGTTTGTAAAATATTTTCAAACTTACACAAAACCCAAAAACATTTACAAATCATTTCAAAGTGAACTAGCAATTAAGAGCCCATAGATACCTACATATGAAAAGGATGCTAACACCTTTCCTTTTCATAACCTACCCTCCAAACTCAAGAAAATTCTCAAAAGGTCTTTCCTGTTCTTTTCACCCTTTCCTTTATTGGATAAAAAAAAGTCGGTGGCGACTCTTGCTATCCGCAACAATTGCGATAAAACGCAAAACACCAAAGTCAATTCTCCCACCGTATTACATACATCAAGGAATAGGTCTCTAAAATTAAGCACATACAGAAATCGAAAATATATAAGTTCAACTAACAACCGAAAATTTAACTCCGGTATTCGCGTAACCTTTTTTCAATTGAAAACCAAATTAATGTGAAGAATGATGATTAAAACGAATAAAATTCACCTTAAATTTCCACTTCCTTGAGCTCATTTTGATATGATGAACCACAAGAATGAAGATTTGGAGTGAAAAACTTGATTGAGAATGAAATGGCTTTTGGAGAGAACTTATGGAAAGTTTATGAAATGTGAGTGATCATTCTTGTCCATGCTAGTTACTCTTTTAAGCCATATGACTTTTGAGTTTCTCGCAAATACATATTCGATTTTAAATAAAATACTAAGGTGGCAGAGTTTTAAATCTTTTCACACTTATTAACCGAAAATACAAACCTTATTTCAACTAGAAATATACCACAAATTATGTTTTATCTTTACAATATAGTAGAATCAGTTTTGATCTTATAATATATAATACATATCGAAAATATATTTTCAATTTTCCAAAAACATTTTCAAAAATGCCTAGAATACTCGGTGGGGCAAAGAAAATCCCATAAATTTTACCATCTATCAACATGAATTTTAAAAAATAAATAAAAATTAAAAGAAAGTCCGGGGGGTAACGTGCTATTTTGTAATATATGTTTTCATTTCTTCTTCACAGTTCCTCCTCCTTCTGCGGTCCAGTTTTTTTAAATTTTATTTTTATAAAAAAAATTCACTGTTGTTCTCGTGAATTGTATCTGAGGCAGCCGCGCCAGTGATGCGCATCGCTGTAGCTGCCAGCGGCCGGTCCCCTCTGCACCCCGGTTCGTTTTTTGTTCGGTATTCTTCCTGAATTATACTGTACACCGTGCTATCAATGAATTCAGTTCCTTTTCAATCTGCACCACTTCTTGAACCTATGCAGTTTCCAGTATTACCACCCGAACCACCAAATTCAAGTTCCTTTTGGGAGACCAGAAATGTTTGCGATCGGTTCCGGGAATTGCAGGATACGCTAAATCTTGTAAAGGGAATGTATGTTGTTCTTGTTTCAATTCACTACATTGTGTTTCGTACGTGCTATTTGATGGTTTGATTTGATTATTTTCTGTAGGCAAAAGGAACTAGAGATGTTGAAGATGATAAGATACCGTGAAGGGTCTTTAGAGGGTTTAACTCATGGCTCAAACGGAACTTACCTTTTGAGTTTTCTAAAGTGTTTAGAGGACAGAGGGGTTAGTGTAGAAACCCAAGAAGCATTAGCTATTGAAACGGCCAATGCTTTGATGTTAAAACTAAGAGCGCTGCTGGAGCCATTTAGATATGTTGCAGATGAAGCAAGTCCATGGGAAGAGAAATCAGCAGTGGCTAGGTTTACAAGTAAAGTGCATAAGTCTAAACGGAATCAACTCTGGAGGAAGAGAAAAAGGAAGCGTATTGCGGAAATAACGGCAAAGGTTACTTTGCCTTGCCTTGTCTTGTGTCTTTGAGTCTTTTTTCTCTCCTGTTTGTTATTGCTGTTGTTTATAACTGATAGATTTTTTTGGTTGCTTTGTTTAAAACTCTAGGACCACGAGCGATTCGCCCAAATTGACCAGGAAGCTGATGAATGGAGGGCTAGGGAGATTGCCAAGGAAATTGCAGATAACAAGGTATTAAAGTCTTTGCAATCTATGCGAACGTTCATATTGACTGGAATTGATATTTGTTTTGGGCATAGGTATTAAGTTCTTCTCAACACCATGCTCAATTTTAACTCAACCAATGTTTTCAAATTCTGATATAAAACTACTATCTCTGACATTTTCCGTGATTTGTCCTCAAGACAATTATGCTAAACTTCTCATTTATTATTATTATTACTATTTTATATGCGTATACGATTCGTGATAAAGGGTGGAGCTGAATGTAAGGCTTTTAGTTCACTATAGTTACAAAAATACATCTCCACATATTACTTCAAATTAGTTGCTGTGCCCATTTTCTTATTTATTTCTAACTTTTCTTCACTGTTCTATCTATTCTCTCCATAGCAAAAAAGGGGGAAGGGCAGTACTTATCAGGGTTCTGTTTACAGATATATTAGCCATTTAGCAGTTAAATCAGTTTGCGTAACAAGTCTTTTTAATGTTGGAAACATGTCTATATGCAGGTCAAAAAGATGAAAGAAATTGCAAAGCTTAAAGTCAAAGAAGAGAAGAAGAAACTAGAGTCTGAGGTAAATTTTTGTACAAATGACTATTAAGCATTTAATCAGTTCTATTTTATGGTTTCCATTAACTCCGAAGAACTCAATCATACATTCTGTTTTATCTACATTAAGGATTTATCACGTCTTCATTAACTACCTATATCATGCAGGTTGTTAAGCACACCTTTCTTCTTTAGATATACATTTATTTAGTCGATGTCAGTCATGACAATTTATATTTTATCATCTTGGGTATGTCTTATTCTCTTGCATCGTGTTATATCACAGCTGGAGCTGCTCTTGGTGGTGGAGAAACTTCAAGAATTACGCTCCATAAGGATACAAAAGTTAAAAAAACAAGGTATTAATATAAGAAAATCACTATGATTCTAGTTAGTTGTATTGTGATTATATAGCATGTTATTTAGCCAATTTTTTACTGATATGCTTGGTTTTGTTTTCTCTTCCCCTGTTAGCACATATATCTTTTGAACTTCATTTATTATTTTGTTACTTTAAATTCACAGTCCTCCTGCATTGGTTGATCAAATTTTTGGACGTGCGTATTTGAGTTCAAGCTCTGCTGTTTGGCATTTTCTCATTATGGCTGAATAACTATTCATCCTATAAATAGTAAATATCTTCACCAAATTTTATTGTTATTATGAATTGAAGTGATTATGGTATGCAGAAGTTTATAAATGCTTACAATATGTTTTCAATATCTTCACAAGAAATATCTTATAAAACTTTAGTTTGTTTACAATTTGAGTATGCAGAAGCTTATAATATTCATTAATGAAAATTTAATTTTATTCCGGATTGAAGTGATTATGGTTATTCACAAATCATGCAGGCCATTTTCTCCCAGAGGAGGATGACAGGTTTCTTGAGCGAGTTCAGGCTGCAGTGGAAGAAGAGGAGCGTGAAGCTTTGGCAGCAGCTGAAACAGATGCTGCTAAAGACGCAATTGCAATTGCCGAGGAATCCAGAAAAGCTATGCAGAACCAAGAGAAACTTTCAGATGGAAGCAATGATGAAAGTCAAATTAAGGAGAAAAAAGAGGAAATAGTCTATAGTGTAACTGAAGAGGGATTTGATGCAACTGATGAGAAGAAATCTAGTAAAATAGCATCTGAAGAACAGAACTATAGAGGGGCTTATGATCCTTTGGCCAATTTGCCAATGGAGTTCTATCATTATTATCATGGAAGCAACAATGACATGGGCACATTGATCGAGGTAATTTTAACTACTTTTTTTAATTGAGTTCTACATCTTTTGCTAAAAATACACTTTGTTTTTGTTTCTTTAGAATACATATTAGGGGAACTTAACCAAGTGACTGCTAGTTTTGCTTATCTTTTTGGGTTACATTGATGCACCACTTTTATTATTATTTCACTTGTATGCTCATCATAAGTCCTCGATTCTTAAGTCTGGTGAATAATCTCATGCAGGTTAGAAGAGGATGGGACGCCTATATCCGACCGGGAGGAAGGTATGAAATCACAAAAATGAAGCTCTTTACACTAAATTTCAAATAAATTTCTACATATAAATCTTATGGATGAATTCTTCTTATCCTATTTCTGAAATACATACCAAAGTTACTTTTATTGAGTATTGTTTGCTTTAGTCGTTAAAAGAGAGGAACCGGATGATAAGTCATTAAAACATACTCATCAAAGGTCGAGATTCTGAACAGATTTGCAACTTTTTAAACAATATACTAATGACTAATAATGGTTTGTAAATTTTATTACTTCAACCATACCGCTTAAAATGGTTATTGAGTTGAGTTTATTTTTACATATAAATTGGCTCCATAGACTTTTATCAGTTTGCTAATACTTGTGAACTTATCAATGAGAGTGAAAAGTGAAAATAAAATATTTGATTATCTTATTTGACTTTTGTTTTATTCCTCGTAACTTCGTGCAGTCGCATACCTGGACACTGGGTTCAGCCTCCTCCTCCAGCCAATGAGATATGGGCATCTTACTTGGTGAGGTCTAAATGATTAGTTTGTAAAATCATCATCAACATTGCACAAATATTTCATCTGATACGTTTCGAAGGTTTGAACTGTGTTTTTGGCTAGCCCCAAGTGTAAGTTTTTTTCGGAGGCATGTTTATATTTATAACATAGAATTTTCATCCTGTATTGATGATGATGATGATAATCATTTTTATTTTATTTTTGAGGTTGGTGATCATCATTGTTGAATGTACCTGGAAATGAAGGAAAATACTCTTGGAATAATGTTTCAAAATTATAATACTAGTGATTTACGATTAAATGAAAGTTGTACAAGTCTTAATATTTTTCTCTTTATGCAGAAATGATAGTGATTTAGAAATTGTAAATATTGATCAAAATAGGTTTTAATTTTTGTAAATTGGTAAGTACATCTAACTGTAAACTCTCTATTTGGCCTAAGGGGACTTAAAGTGACTTTAGTTTTTTTGAAAAATTTGTTTGGATAAAATTTTTTATTTTATTTTATTGAAAAAAAAAACATAATCTGAAAATTTGTTTGGGTAGAAAAATTCCCATAACACATGATGAATGAAAGTGATATGAAATTATTTAAAATAATATCTTGTATTTTTGCTTCAATAAATTATTAGTAATTGTATGCTTAAAATTGTCAGTAATTAATAATTATATATAGTCACGATCCTGATTTGCTAGGCATTACGTTTAAGTTCATCACATTGACAAAATATTTTTACCATTATTAATACTAAAATAAATTTACTTAAAGTGACATTTGATATCTATTTGCCACAAATCTATCTTGTTCATTGTATTCTTTCGCAACGAGTCTTACGTTATTTTTTTATAACATTTCCATATTTCCATCAAATTTCACATAACATTTTCATTTCCATCAAATTTGTTGTGAAAGATTTATTTAGCTTCAATAGCTAAAAATATGAAAGTTTAGGAACAAATTCCAAATTATTGTTTCTATCATGCGAACTTCATTGATGTTCTTTAGATAAATTTGAGAAATAAAAGTCATTTGCAGGTCATCCATTCTTTCGAAGATCATGATCATCAATGTTCCAATCTTTATTTTGATGATTTTTTGTTTGACTTTGATTTTAATCTTGATCTTTATTTTGAACTCTATCTTTGTCTCGATCTTTGTCTTTTAGAGATATTTTCTCTAAGATACCTATACAATCAACATTTACCTCTATTGTGATTTTGGGTTAGATTTATCAAAGGTAATATGAACTGATTTTTCTATAGACAATATTTTTTATTGAAAATTCTAAAGGTTTTAACTAGAAATAGAATATTCTAAAAATAGACCTTCATCGGCTTTAGCGTCAAACTTTTCAAGATTCTTTTTCCCGTTATTGTGAACAAAATATTTGCATCTGAACATATGGAGATGGAAAATATTAGGCTTCCTTCTTTTGTACAACTCATAGAGCACCAACTTTAGAATTGATCTTATATTCATCACATAACAATCAGTTCTTAATATATCAGACCAAAAGTATTTAGGAAGATTAGTTTCATTGAGCATCGTCATCGCTAGCTCTTCAAGAAGAATATAGAGTAGAAAACAAACTTGAAGGAGTTGATACAGAGGAGGAGCACAGTCAGGGCAAAACATGAGAACAAAAGCGAAGGAGTTGAAGCGAAGAGAAAGGAAAAACACATTTGAAATCTGAATTGAAATATCATTCCAACTTTTAGTTTTTAAAAGGGAAAATACATCATTTCGCATAAAAAACCCCAAAACGGGTCAAAACTCATCGGGGTTGGGAAGCAATTCGCTCCTGCAACCCGTTATTCCTGCAATCGCGATTGGAATCTCAAGTTGAGATGCGTGCCACTCCTCCATAATGGATGGTAGTCGTGCCGGGAGAGATTCCTGGGATAATGTCGCCACTAGGTGCAATTAATAACTTTGGTTCAGAATGAGACGCCATTATGTAAACAAAGGAAAACAAAAACTACTCAATAGCTTACATGAGCGGGACTAGTTGAAAAAATGTTTAGGAATTGTAGAGGAGCGTTAAACAAAGTGTTTTATCGTGTTTGTAAGACATATATGCAAGATGTGAATCCTGATATTCTAATCATCATGGAAACTCGGGCAAACCCAAGTAAGCTCAACAAAGCTTTTAACCGTTTGGGATTTGCTGGTTTTGAGTACTCTAAAACAAGACGCTTCGCGGGTGGTATCACTTTAGGATGGAAAAATGAAAAACTGCAAATCCAAATGATTGATCGCAACTTTGAGAGTCTATTGGGTTTGCTGACCGCAAGTGCACAGTTTAATCGCGTAGCTTTAAAAGATATTGAGCCCACATGGACTGATAATCAAACTAATGTTATCTAATGTTACTGTGTAAATCTAAGGCTAATGATTTATCTTGGGTTTGAGGAAAACGGGAAATAAATTCAAACTTCAATAGAAATATTCAATAACGGGACACCAATATGTAACTCATCATACTTCGGGGATTCGAATAAAAAATGTCAAAATATTGTTCAATAGAAAATATTGATTTAAAAGACTTTGTCTCACACTCTCGTGCTATTGACTCTGACTATACTCTTAAACCAGAAAGCTTTGATGTCGCTCTCTCATTTGAATTAAAAGTAATTTTTAGAAATCAATAAGTTCTAATTAATCCTAAAGTGTTCTCGTTGTGTTTAAGATTAATGTCTAATCTCTACTATCCGGTTAAAATCTCAAACTATCGTTCTATTAACCTTACAATTTATTAGCTTTTTACTCTTGTGCAAAAACTGTTTTAATTTTAGAATTAGAAACTATAACCACGAAAATAGTTTATAAAGATTATCACCAATTATTACTGAATCCCGTCCGGACGACGGTTCTTACATACCGGTATCAAATAGTTTAGTCGGACATAGTTTTGAACATAAACATGCTGATATAATTATTAAACATAGAACATAACATGGTTTTAAAAACTAGAATTAGTTTATTGCTAAAATGTAACAATATAGGACATGAATAATACACAATATCGAAACAATCATAACAATTAAAATATACAATTAAAATAGAACCTAGAAATAATGCAAAAACTGGAATGACATCTTAAATTAACTTCGCGTACAATAACAGAAACTGGAGTTTGATTATGACGACATGCTTCATGTTCAGAGTACATAATGTAATTAAAATACTTAAAACTAGAGTTGTGATAGTCCCCCGATGTGGAAGAGCTATCACTTTACAGGTGAATTTTTCTGCCTAAAATTATTCTTTGTGAAAATAATACTAAAAACTTCAGGTCCTAAACTGAAGATGAGCTCTCTAATTTATACTCGACTCCTCGCATAAAAATCTCCAACCAATCTGTAACACTCAGACAGTTAGGTTGAACGAGGATAACATGATTAATGGAGAACGTGAAGGGCGTGAAGACTGGGTGGAGGCGAGAATCTAGGATGGTTGGAGAAAATGAAGGCTTGTGGAGGGAGTGGCGAGCGCGTGAAGGGAGTGGCGGGCGCCACTCCTTGTAGCGTGGCGGGCGCGTGGAGAATGTGGCAGGCGCCATGTTTTGCTGTTCGCTCTGGGCCTTTTCTCTTTTTTACTTAATTTCTTTATTTTTTATTTTAAATTTCTTCTTTTTACTCAAATCTCTTCTGTGACCAATTCTGCTTGAGGTACCTGAAATAGGACAATAATACTGACATAACAAGACATAAATAAATAAAAACTAGACTAAAATTCATGCGATTCAAGTCAAATATATGATATAATTCCGCATTTATCAATTATCCAAATGCACTTACAATATATTCATACTCATGTTAATGCTATAGATGGAGGGAGTTGTTATCTTATAGCCGTGTACGCTAGCCCGAGAGATGAGGAGAAGAAGTACCTTTGGAAGGAGCTGAAGGATATATCAAAGACTATGGACAAAGGGTGGATAGTTTAAGGGGATTTCAATGATATTCTGAGAATTCAGGAGAAAAGAGGAGGTGTCATGGCATATACTAGAAAGTGCAGAGTTTTTTAAGAGAGAGTGAATTCTTGTAATCTCATGGACATAAGAAGAACTAGGTATATATACACTTGGCATGGTCCCATGTTCCATGGAGGCATGGGAATTTATGAAAAGATAGATAGAGTTTTCAACAATGATAACTGGAGAGTTCAATTCCCTGAACCTTTTGTAAAATTCCCCGCTAGACTAGAATATTCTGACAATCACCCTATATTGTTAGCCTTAGTTGATCATAAGTACAGAAGAAGGCCACATTCTTTCAAGTTTGAGTGTGCTTGGATTGTTGAAGATTCATACGATAACATGATAAAGAGGCTTGGGAAGAAGGTCATAGTCTGACTGACAATCTAGAGAAAATCATAAGAAAAGTTATTCAGTGGAAGCTGCTTAATCTCAACAGCATCTAGAAAACCAAGAACCTCAAATTAAGCAGAATCAGAGGTATCCAAAGAGCAGCGCAAAATGGTAGAGATTTAAGGTGTGATGAAAATGCAATAAATGGGGGGTTTGAATATGGTTCTCCTTTCTTGTAATTCTTTCGCTTCTAAGCATTATTCGTTGAACAATGCTTCTATTTGTTACTTCTAAGTAACGCTTCTAAATAAGTTCAGAAAACTTAAACTCTAAAGCATAAGAAAAAGTAAAGAACACGTGATATATCCTGGTTCACTTGAGAAACCCCCAAGCTAATCCTGTCCACCCTTCCGAGGTGATTTCGCCTTGAACTCAAGGACTTAATCCACTATAATCAATCTGATTACAATCACAAGGGCAACTGCCGGTGACTAACATCCATGAAACATTCAGGATCCAAACCGGATATAACGTTCATTGATCCAACAAAATCTGATTCTCCAGAATCTCCTGTCAGGATTTCCTTCCAATGAAATTCATTAGTGATCTCAGAAGGCTGACCTTCACTCAGTCCCCTTTGAGATATGACTACCATTGACCCAATAGAATTCATTACCAAGATTTCATCTATGATGGCTGCAACCAAAG